TTTGGGGGGTTTTTTTGCACTGTATTGTTGTTGTTATTATTGTTGTTGTTGTTCTCTATCAATTAAAGTAATGTACAGTCACTACTTATTCTTGCTCCATCAAAATCAAGATGGATTTTAATGTTATATTCTCCTTGTGGCAGCCCATGCTCTTTCATAACAGCTTTGACATCATGTTTGATCTCACATTGTCCAGTAATTGCATGCTATCATGGCATATCAGAGACATCTGACACTCATACCTGTCAGTTTACTTGACATATTCTGAAATATTTGATAGCCAATTAAAAAATAAATTACACCTTTGAATATATCCCACAAAAGGAGAAGATTCAAAACACAAGCCACAGAGCTCTGGAATTAATGACAAAGATCCTTGAAGTAACAAAAACGTACAATATAAGATAGCTGACAACTAGCCTAATTACTTTTTTACACATCAAAACTAGAAGCAAAGGCATTTTTCATTCTGAATATGAGCTCAGCAAAGTTCACCAGGGAATGCACATAATCTACTGGGAACCTTCCTTATGAAAGAACTACCAAAATGAAGAGAATGTGATAAGTACAAGAATATAAAGATTCCCCTTTAAGGTTCGTTTTCCAAAGATTCATTCACACAAGCAGTCTTTAGCAGCCAAAGTTCCCAATGGAATATACCCACTGAATCTTAATCCAAAGCACCATAAAATTCTGCAGTTCAGTGATACTCATGTTTTAAAGACAAGAGCATCTTGCTCAATTAGGCCTATGTCAGTCTTAAGATATAGAGAAAGTCCTACTACCCTTAACATTTTCAAAATGTCAAAAACTACATTACCCTATGCCTAACACAATTACTACTACTATTTTATTGTTTGTAGGATTTCTGTCTGGAATTTTAATGGGCACCTACAAAAGAATACAAGGTTACTCAAAATATCAGAATAAATAATTCCTATTAAAACACCATACATATCTAGACAGTTGTATGCAGCATGCAGCTGAAGATAGCAGATGGGGAGGTCCATACCCACACAGTGTTACTACCTTGGGCATCCAGACTGCTTAGAGGATGTGAGCTGCAGTAACTATCTTCTGTGATCCAGATGCATATCTAATAACCATAGTAATAAATATGAAATGCCAAGAAGTTGGAAAACTGGGATTTCTACATGAATGATTTGAACACTACAATCCCTGTATCCATCGGAGAAATGTTCTTGGAATTCACATGGATACATCAAAATATTGAGCAAGCTAGGACCCAAAATCTTGTCCTCGTACTTTACTACTGTTGTATCCAAAGTTATAATTACCCTTTTTATATTGCTCTTATTCTTACTGCTGCTATATGAGCTAATGTTTTTATGTCACTAGCCCTATCCTCTAAATTGTTGTGCCACCCATAATGAGACTTAAATTATACTATTGGTTGTTGGTTTTGATGCTTGTTTTATATATTGTTATGTTGTTTTTATTGATATTATGCTTTTTAATGTGTTACGTTTTAACTCTGTTGATTGGGCTTGGCTCCATGTAAGCCACCCCAAGTCCCTTTGGGGAGATGGAGGTATAAAAATGAAGTTGTTGTTGTTGTTGTTATTATTATTATTATTATTATTATTATTATTATTATTATTATTATATTGAAATGAAGGGCCTCTGGCCTAAGAATGCTATAGAATTGCACTAAAAGATGAAGAAAGTGGCTAGAGAGGACGTATTTTGTTGGAGGTGGATAAATGAAACCATGGACACCTGTCCCATAGATACAGGGGTCTTGCTGTATGTAAATGTTAAAGAGAATAATATAGAGAGCCCCCAGGTGAGGTTTCTAATTTTTGTCCAACATATAGCAGGTGAGTTATTTGGTATGACCAATAAGGAAGTATGTATCAGAAGGCAAAGTACTGATCAATACGTAAATGGAATTGCCTCCTCTCAATGGTGCCAAGAGAGATTCAGTGCAGAAACCAAGCTGCATCTACAGAGGCTCTATGAAGACGGTATCTCTGCAGACCCAAGACAGTTGCACAGAAGCATAAAAATGCTTGCTTGTCAAGCCAAGATGTCTAGGATTCAAGTCAAAGAATTTCACAAGTATTTGCGCAATTACAGGTAGCAAAAATACAGTACAACATCAAACAATTAATAACGTCCTAAGTCATCTAACATCAAACAATTAATAACGTCCTAAGTTTGCCACACTAGTTTCTCTAATGGTAGGATTGTCCCAAAGCACTCACAAAACTTGTCCCATACCTGCTTATTTCATACTGGAGAGACTTGATATATCTTTCCCCCACTTGAGCACAACAGGTATGCAATCATATATTTAGTCAATATAGCAAGGAGATCATTAAGATGTTAGAAGATTGAGTGAGAGGATTATGCCAAGTGTTTCCACTTGGATTCTCTCCAAAGTTACAAAATAAGATCATATAATTTTTTCCCCGCTGAGTTGGAAAGTGAATGCATCCTGTCATTAAGAGAATGCTGTATCATTTTTATGGCAGTTATAATAACGTACAGTAAGATATAGTGTGTGCTATTTTACACCATTTAAAAGGCAATGGACTTTTATTAAACAGGCTTCCATGATAAGAGAGCTTTCTTACATTAACACGAACTTGTCCTTGCCTTTGCATTTCAAGTACGTGTGAGGAAGAGGTGATTTTCAGTAGCATACCCTATAAGAATTTCAATGCCTTTTTGACTTGAACAGTTTGCTAAAATAAAGTTATCAACAATGGTGTAAGTTATCATATTTTATAGTTAGTGAGAGCAGTAAAGTGTTGTCTTAACTGGAGTAGCTTTGAATATGCATCATTTATGTTTGAATGGTATTAACTGTGAATCTTTTAATATTGTTGATATTTACTTCTGTTTTAATATTTGTATATTTTAAATTCTGTGCTAACATTTTTATGTTAAGCCACTTTGAGTCCCCTTCAGGGGAGATAAAGAGGGATATAAATAAATATAAATATAACAACAACAACAACATTAGCTTCACACTTTTCTGCAGAAGGTGCAGCTCTTGGGGGGAGGGGATTTGTTATACCATAATTCCCTGCAGCAAGTGTGAAAAGCATATCTACATATTTAAACACAGTATATATGTGCCCTGGAAACATCTATGGGCTGAGGACTCCCAAAGCTCATACATGGGTATTTAAAGAGTTGGTCATGCTAGCTAAATGTTTCAATTTTATTGGAGGTAGTAATAAAAGTATGCCTACAACAGATACATCTTCTGGAAGAAGGAGGAAGCTCCGCTTAGAAAATGTTAAGTCTCTCTTCTAGAAAGATGAAATCCTAGAAAAACAAAAAAGAAAAAAAATCCAAGGAGAAAGGAACCCTCCTAATTATTTTTTCCTATGCCTTATTTTTCAAGCAAAATTGTAATAAAAAGAATGATTCACTTTTTTTTCTTTTGGAATAAGTGTTACAAGCTTTGTAGATGCAGGGAATGCTGTGGATGCAGCATATCTTGATTTCAGTAAGGCCTTCGACAAAGTCCCCCATGACCTTCTTGCAAACAAACTAGTGAAATGTGAGCTATGCAACTATTAGGTGGATCTGTAATTGGTTAAGCGACGAAACTCAAAGGATGCTCACCAATGGTTGGTTCCACTTCATCCTGGAAAAAAAGTTACCACTGGAGTGCCGCAGAGTTCTGTCCTGGGCTCAGTTCTGCTCAACATCATTATTAATGACTTGAATGAAGGTTTAGAGGGCGTGCTTATCAAGTTTGCAGATAACACCAAATTAGAAGGGAAGTCTCTGCCTTGGAGAGTGATGGAAGCTCTTTCCTTGGAAGATTTTAAGCAGAGGCTGGATCGCCATCTGTCAGGAGAACTTTGATTGTGCTTTTCCTGCTTAGCAGGGGGTTGAACTAGATCACCCATTTGGTCTCTTTCAACTCTACGATTCTATGATTCTGTTAAACAGTGTACACCTCATGTTCTTAATGTAACCAAGTAAAAGGTGCTAATATTGTTCCCCAACCCCAATTCTGATTTGACAATACTTTGGCTTCATGTTCTTCCGAAGACCACTGTGTGAAAGCTATTTGAAAAAAAAATGTTTCATTCTTATGTGTTTTGTCATATAACTCTTTTCCTGTATGGTTTTCATGTGGTCTTACTTGGGAACCCTAAGGGCTAGTACTGAGCCAAAAGTACCTTCCAATGTCTGGTGTGAACTTATGGTGACAGAAGCTGACAGAAGCTGGCAGAAGCTGGCAGAAATTCACTTAACTATATCCTACTCAGAAGACAGGAAAGTTTGGAGAAGAAAATGATGCTGGGGAAAATTAAAAGAAAAGGAAAGAGGGGCCAACCAAGTGCAAGATGGATGGATGTTATCCTTGAAGTGACTGGCTTGACCTTGAAGAAGCTGGGGGTGGCAATGGCTGACAGGGAGTTCTGGCTGAGGGCTGGTCCATGAGGTTACGAAGAGTCAGAAATGACTGAACAAATCAACAACAACTCAGAAGACATTATAGTGTAGCGAAAGGTTACTGGTTTATACTCCTGTCCTCGCTCTGATCTGGATTTATGATGATGTGACCTGTGGGGCATAACAGCCACTGTTTCTAAGATGAGCAGCAGAAAAACTGGAGGGAAGGACATGGTTTTGTGAAACTTTAAATCTCTTTTCCCAATCCTTTACAAGCTAAATTTCTTATCCAAAGAAGATTCTCCTTACCCCTACATGTACTAATTTCTTTATGATACTGAATGAGGGAAAAATTCCCTATCCCAATACCTTGTATATGTTTTGGACTACAGTTCCCATTGTTTAACTATGAATCACACAGTTTGGGATCCTGGGCACTCTAGTCCAAATCACCTGGAAAGTGTCAGGGTGAGGAAGGTAGGACTTGCCCAAGTCAATATTTACTGATCCAAATACCAAGAAATGACAGTAAAGGTAGGGATAGTATTAGTAGCAATTTGCAAAATTTATAAATCAACAATCCCTGTACCTACACTTTCACATTGTGATCCTACCTGCAGATGGCTGGAAAACACTCCTGAAGTCCCTTTTTCTTGACTAATGAACCTTCAAGACAGTACATGATGATATCCATAACCTGCACATAAAAATTGAACAATGAAATTACATACAATTTTGATACACTTTCCTTATTCTTAGTTTTCATGACTTATAAAATACAAAACTAGGAAAGGAAAAGCTGATGAATAGCACTGGCATTGCTGACTGAACTACTAAAGCATCTCTTTCGCAAAGCACTCAAAGTATTTCTAAAACACTACATCTGATCTGTTATCATAACTGCCATGGTTGCATCCCATTGAAACATAATTTTGCAGGTACAAATTAGGACATTAAATGTAAATGGGGCGAGTGCTTCCTGTTCTGTCACATTCATAGAACGGGAAGGCCTTCTGCCTCAGAAGAAGTGATATTCCAATGGAAGGAAATGTGCCATGTGGTTCTGTTATTAGGGAAACTATCAGAGACTGGGGTCATAATTGAATCTGTTTGCTATAATCGTTTCACTCTTGGAAATTTGCCAGTGATTGCTGGCCAATGTCATATGGACTAGTAGGGATTCATGGAACAACAGGTGGTATAGCACTGTCCTTTGGCATTTGATCAATCTGTGAAATAGCTACTATAGTTGCCCACACCTCTCTTCCCTATATGATCTCTAGCTTAGTATCTATTCTGATGATGCTTTTGATTGTTAGCCACACACTTTCTTTACTTCAAGAATTGCCTTTGAGATCTAAGTCTTCTCACCGATGCATTCATATTCCCATGAAATAAATAGTTAGCTTCCTACCATCTTTGTATAAAAGTTCAATTCCTGCCCCATTCTATTCACTTCATTACACAGCATTTCTTTGATTCCAGCTCATTAACTGTCCTGTATGTCATTGTCAAATTCCTACCTTTTAAACATTTTGTTATCTCCCCCATTTTCAAATCAGTTCCCTTCTTCTTATAGTGGACATCCTTACCCACTTCCAATTCTCATGCTTTCTCATTTTGGTATACCTTTTTTGATGTAAGAATACTCATATTTATTTATTTCAATTTTACCTTGTTCTTCTTCATCAAATACCAGAGACTGGGAAAGCTACTTTTTGGACTACTAGAATTTTCAGCCTACACAACCAGTGGCCAATATAAAATATATTTTATGATTAAAGAAACCATGGTTCTGAGTCAGACTACTGCTCCCTTTTGTTCAGCAATGTTTACATGTTAGTGGATCCCTAGTGATTCAGGCAGGACTTTCTCCCAAGGAAACAGATGCTGGGTAAGGATACTGGGATCTTTTACATGCCAAAGATCCAAACTATAACTTCATGTAAAATAACCTTTTATGAAAGTATCTCATCTTCTACATTATTACTTTATATACTCATGAATATATTTACCTCATGCATAAGTCTAGAGTAGATCTGGGAGTAAAAACTATGAATTTTGATATGACCCATGGATAAGTAATTCCACGGAGAGGAGAAAGAGCCAAAGCCTCTCTGGGGATTTCCCTGTCCATGCACCTAAAAAGGGCACAAATGATGCTGCAGTGGAGAAGAACGGGGCGGTGAATCTCTTAAATTCTTCTAGGATGGACTAAGCTCTCTCTATTCTACTCAGAGAAGGGAATGGTTCCTTTTTTGGAAAAGAGTTAAGATGCAGTACTTACATTGACTGATTTGTAGGTAAGTCAGTCCTGTGTTTTTTGGGTCGATTTTTAACTAACATTTCTCGATGTATTCATGACTATAGTACATATAATATTAAAGATGTGTGCAATGATTGGCAGAAATTGCAATTCCTATTATCAGCAACTGGCTGAGGAAAACGTATTTGTCTCATATTCTGAATTACTTGTAAATGCAAGTATTTTGAAAATCAAAAGGAAATTAGAATAATCACTGCACCAAATTTGAAAAACAAACAAATACATGGGTAGTAAACTATAACTAGGAGCCCCCGGTCACAGGTTCGAATCCAGGGAGAGGCGGATGAGCTCCTTCTATCAGCTCCAGCTCCTCATGCAGGGACATGAGAGAAGCCTCCCACAAGGATGATAAAACATCAAATCATCCGGGCGTCCCCTGGGCAACGTCCTTGCAGACGGCCAATTTTCTCACACCAGAAGTGACTTGCAGATTCTCAAGTCTCTCCTGACACGACAAAAAAAACAAACAAACCCAAAAACACCCACCACCCCCCCTAAAAACTATTACTTTACCTCTACAAGGAGATCCACAACATCTGAGGGCATTTTTTCAACAAGTATTTCAATAACTCTCAGGATTTCTCCTTTTGCTCGAGCCAGGGTAGATGTATGAATATTCTGTTGAGACTGAGTATTTGCCTGGAGAGCAGTATGTCTATGCACCTAGAAATACAGTAGACTTATTAAAGATGATTACAGTTCTTTTTCATTCACATTTCTCACAACAAATTACAGGTATATATCAGGCAACGAACAAGATGCATTTCTGGTATTACTTAATAGAAAGTTGGGTACCCAAGGCAAAATAACATAGTAAAAAATATGGATAGTTTCCTATATCACAGAGAAGAAGTGCTAGTTAAGATGTTTCAGCCAATATTTTATTCAAACTAAAAGAATGGTCATGTGAAATAAAGCAATTATGTCAGGTAAACCTTTGATTATAGAATAACAGAATTGGAAGAGACCACATGGACCATTTAATCTAACCTCCTGCCATGTAAGAAAAGCACAATCAGAGTACCCCTGACAGATGGCCATCCAGCCTCTGTTTAAAAGCCTCCAAAGAAGGAGCTTCCACTGGACTCCCAGCCAGAGAGTTCCACTGCTGAACAGTTCTTAGTCAGGAAGTTCTTCCTTATATAAAGAAAAATGTGTGGAACCTTCAAGAAACCCCTAGAAAGTTTCTTCCAAAATTAATCCAGGAGTAGGTTTTGTTGTATTTTACAGGCCTCCACTTTCCTTATGCATCCTATTTTCGTGACCAGGGGTACTGATCTATGCTCTTTGAATTTGTTGGGTTCACTGGTGAGTAGCCTTATCTACTTTCCTCTTTTCTCTGTTTTGGCATTCACACATGCTAAATGACAAACTCTGGAGGCAGCTGCTGTTTAGTTTGCCTGTTGTAGAAGTTGTAGAGTTTCCTAGCTGAAGGTTTATTGAATGGTTTAATAACAAATGCTGCTGCAAATCAACACTAAAACTTCTGTTTTTTCAGCACGATATCATCACCTTTCCAGTGCCAATGCTATAAAAACATCTTCTAGCTAAACAGAGGACAAGGAGGAAAAGAAGATCTGGGCAGGTATAAAAAAAGACTTTGTAACAAGAAGTTTCTTTGTCAAAAACATTGTGAATTCAATAATGTCTGTAAGTAGTATTTCTCCAAATCCTATTTCTTGCTTGCTGAGTGGTGCTAGTTTCCCACCGTTTTCCCATCTTCCCAAAAACAGAGTATGCTGCAGTTTTCAATATGAACATCCCCTTTTTCTTACAGCAGGGGTGTCAAACTAATTTTCATGGAGGGCCACATCAACCTCATGGTTGCCTTCAAAGACTGTTGAATCCATGGATGGAGAATCCGTGGATAGAGAGGGCAAACTATAAATTTTGTACACAATAGTTGATGTTCTTTTATTTTTATACAGTTTTGGTCCTTAGATGTTATTGAATGACAACTTCCATCACTTCTGACTATTCACCATGCGGATTGGGGTTATTGGGAGTTGTAACCCAATAGCACTTGTGGCTCTGAGATTGGAGAAAGGTTAAAGGACCGTTAAAAACCAGACTTCATATGCACAATTTTTGTATCTAAAGTCAAACCCCACTATTCTGACTAAATGGAACAAACTGCAGCCTTCCAGATTATTATTATTATTATTAACTGTCTTTGTACCCCGCTAGCATCTCCCGAAGGACTCGATGCGGCTTACAAAGGCCAAGGCCTCAAAACACAACATAACAATACAGAACCCAAAGCAAATTAAAAACAATTAAAGTAATATTAAACAACAAGCAATAAACAATACACCAAAACACAATAAAACTGGGCCGGGCCAGAGTAATGGGTAGAGAATTAAAAGTGCTGATGTGACAGGTGGTATATAAGGATTATAGTGTAAGTGCAGTGTGCAGTGTGCGGCAATCTTAGTTCTAATAAAGTGCTTCTGGGACTTGGTATTGGGGTTTTCCTATTCTGGAAAGGCACATCGGAACAGCCAGGTCTTCAAGTTCTTTCTAAAGACTGCCAATGTAGGGGCCTGTCTAAGATCTTTGGGGAGGGTGTTCCAGAGTCGGGGGGCCACCACAGAAAAGGCCCTGTCTCGCGTCCCCACCGAACGCGCCTGTGATGGAGGCGGAATCACGAGCAGGGCCTCTCCGGATGAACGAAGTGAACACATGGGTTCATAAACGGAGATGCGGTCACGCAGGTAGAATGGTCCCAAACTGTTTAGGGCTTTGTTGTGATACAGATGTTACTGTATCACAGCTCTCACCAGCTTTAGTCATTTCTAATGAGGAAAAATACAGGAGTTGTAGTCTACCATCTGGAGGGCCACATAAAATGACATGGCAGACTGGGTTCAGCCTGTGGGCCTTGAGTTAACATATGTGCCTTATAGGTTATCAACACACATGACAACAAACACATTTTTATCAATTTAGTCCCAGTAGGATCACATCAAGATTTCTTCTTCGCACTGTGATATAAACAACAGATTGATGCACTGAGGATCATTGCTATCCTGGGGGAAGGACTGCAACCTGGAAACTGGCAAAGTGACTGAGCATTCATAAATTTCAAAATTTGTTTTAGAAATTCTCTAAGTTTAACCAGAAGGCAAGTGGATTGGAATGGGGGAAAGCCAATCTACAGAACACTAAAGGAACAGAATGGGAACATCTGCTCATCATTAAAGATTATATGAATTATCATGAATTGTGACCAATTAAATATTTAACCCTTTCCAGTATATTTGCTGTGTATCAATTCATTCACAGTCAGTTCCTAAAATACAACATTAAGTTGGAAATACTTCAATAATTTATTTAAATGGTTGAGATTTTTCCCCCCAAGGGTTAATTTTATATTTCATTGTATATCAATCAATTAATCATTGGTGGTAGTTTAAAAAGGCCAAATTAATTTATACATTAAAATTTTGTAGATAATTTTACTGACCCAAAACTTCACTAGGGTGCTCTTTTCCAGTAATCCTAAGCATTATAATCATAGTGTGCATACATACATGTTTGTGTACACATGCAGAATACAAAAACGTCACTATATTTATTTAAAACGTGTTCTTATACACATGGAAGAAGAAACAAAAAATAGTATTAACTCAGATATTTTAAAAACAGCTACGTCAATTTCAAAATGATGACAGAAGTGTCCTTGCTGAAGTAAAACACCATGACTATGTTGATCAAGGAGAAATCTTTGGCACATTTGAACTAAGATTTAGATGTTATTATCACCCCCGGTGGCGCAGTGGGTTAAACCACTGAGCTGCTGAGCTTGTTGACCGAAAGGTCACAGGTTTGAATCCGGGAAGTGGCATGAGCTTCCACTGTCAGCCCCAGCTTCTGCCAACCTAGCAGTTCGAAAACATGCAAATGTGAGTAGATCAATAGGTACCGCACCGGTGGAAAGGTAATGGCGCTCCAAGCAATCATACTGGCCACATGACCTTGGAGGTGTCTATGGACAACGCTGGCTCTTTGGGCTTGGAAATGGAGATGAGCATCACACCCCAGAGTTGGACACGACTGGGCTTAATGTCAGGGAAGAACTTTAACCTATCACTTTTTAACAAGATTGGGGCAAATTTCAATGATGGGATTATGAATTAGAGAAGTTATTAAAAGGAGAAGTATGGTTTTATAGTGCTAACTAAAGGCAGTAAGATAATAATGGATAAAAATCAACAGGCAATGAGTGTGAGGTTTGAAGAATACTTTCTGTAGTTGTATGTTTAGTATGTGATTTACTGTAGTTTTATATTAGGTTAACATGTTGTAGACTAATTTCTATAGTTGTACATTTGTGCGTTCATTTTGCATTAAGTTTTGTAAGATGTCCTAGTGGCTAGTCAGAGAGCTGTTTAGTTTAAGTAATATATATCATGAAAAACTACTTTTGTTATATTGTCTTTGTCTTTGGTATTTACTCTGAATAAAAACTAGTGTTAAAAATGAAGTGGAAGGCCCTGAGAGACTGGGAAGTTCTTCTGCTCACCTCCTTGGCAATGGTTGTGATGAAGGCGGGTGGTCTGGCCGTGGCAATGAGCGAGAGAGCGTGTCGTGCGGAGCGGGCGGAGTCAGCTGCTGGACTCAGAGGCAGCCCCATTGTGATGCTAATCAGAGATCAGACAAAGAGGAGTGGGGGGAAAAGGAAGAAAAGAAGCATTAGAAATATAGAGTGAAAAGATTAGACACAGCTTATAATGTCAATTCAAGGTCAACGGGAGCACTCAGACAGTTAGAATATAATGGACTTCCAACAATGAGCAGTGATTAGGAGTCAGGGTGTTCTAGCATCTAATACAAAATCAAATAATTAACCATGAAGATTGAAAACAGTATGTGCATCTGTCCAAAGTGTTAAAAAGGCCTTGTTAACAAATTATCTAGCTGTAGTACTGAATACATATCAAGACCCCAGGCAAACACAAATATACAGTGTGATACAAAAAAAACCCTGTATATTTTAATTCTGAGAAATAGTATGCACACATTTATTATTCCTATCAGCCAAGAAGATTTTTTCCCCCAAGATTGATTCAGGGGAAAAAATGATTCATTTCCATATAGGCTTCCTGTGTTAAGTTATCTTCTTTTCAACCATTGCGATTTTAAAATGGGAACAGCCATAATCACAAATCTGATATCTGGAGTTTCTTACAGTATCAAGGCAATTTTCTTTGGAAATGGAAGAACTGCCTACCGATTCTTCCTACCGATTAGTCTTATATACTGGAAAGCACATGGATCACAATTTGCTATGATGATAAGCTAGTAAACAATCAGTAATAAAAGAACAGGATATAAAGAACTTCAAATACAATTTGCTAGTAACAAATAATATTTGTGAATCAACGGATATGAAGGGGTCCTTGTTAACACCATTGAATGTATGAGAATGTCAGCTAAAGGGCACCGTATACTTTTTGCTAGGTCGTTAAACACATCATGAATGGGTACACTAACCGACTGAGTAATATCTTGGGTGGGGAGGGGGGAATAGACCTTACAAAAGGACCACTGGAAGGATTATAAGAAAGAATGGAATGGAAGAAAGAGTGTAAGTAAACCCAAGGCCTTATCATGATGTGAAAAATATGGCTTAGCTGTGGAGTCTGATTGGGGGTGATATTTTAGCTACCTTTCTCCTTCATCATTGATTTCTCACATATCCTTCACCATTCTGATTCTCAGGAATGGTACTGTAGGGTTACGGCTGGGGATCGCAGCAGGTAGATGTGAAAGTACCCATTTGATGAGTGGAAAGCACGGCTGCTACTGAGGCTCTGAAGTACATTAATTCACAAATTGTGCTTGTGTGTTTTTAAACACCACTTGATTTTAGAAGAAAAGGACTGTTGAGATCCTAAGCTGACAGACATACCGTAGCTATGGGGATGGAGCCTCATTGTAGTTATTTAGGCCAAGGTCATCATTCACAAAACTGATCTTTTAAGGTCTAAAGCTATGGGCTTCTAAGTTGCTGCAAATCAGGATGCTAGGAAATTATGACTGCAGTGCTCACCTAGTTGTGGGGTGCATTGAGACAGACACCTGGAGAAACCCCCTCAGGGTTCCTCTTTTTGTTTCAATACACCATGCAACCAGGAGACCATTGAGGTTGCCAATTTCCAGTGCCCTGTTCTCCACCAGTTTTGGAAATCATCCAACAGGGCACTGTTTGGTTTAAGAGGTAGGTTTAACAACCACAAACATATATTCCCAAAAAAAAAAAAAAAGGAGACTAAAACATGGATTATATGTTATATATATAAAATATATGTAAAACATGGTGTTTGGCTGCTGTGTCGGTCTGGATGAGGGTGAACAAATTCAATTTGAATCCAGACAAGACAGAGGTAATCCTGGTCAATCGAAACGCCGAACAGGGCATAGAGTTACAGACTTTGTTGGACGGGGTTACACTCCCCCTGAAGACACAGGTTTGCAGCTTGGGAGTGATCCTAGATTCATCGTTGAGTCTGGAACCTCAGATCTCAGCAGTGGCCAGGGGAGCTTTTGCACAATTAAAACTTGTGCGACAGCTGCGTCCGTACCTTGGGAAGTCTTACTTGTCCATGGTGGTCCACGCTCTTGTTACATCCCGAATAGACTACTGCAACACGCTCTATGTGGGGCTGCCTTTGAAGACTGCCAGAAAGTTTCAATTAGTCCAATGCTCAGCAGCCAGGTTGCTCACTGGAGCGGCGTACAGGGAGCATACAACTCCTCTGTTCTGCCAGATCTACTGGCTGCCGATCTGCTACCGAGCACAATTCAAAGTGCTGGTTTTAACCTTTAAAACCCTAAACGGTTCTGGCCCAGACTACCTGCCCAAATGTATCTCCTGTTACAAACCACCACAAAGTTTAAGATCATCTGGAGAGGCCCTGCTAGTAACAAATAATATTTGTTACTAGCAAATTGTATTTGAAGTTGTATTTGAAGTCCCCATCACAAATGCAATTGGTGGGGACAAGGGACAGGGCCTTATCATCAGTGCCCCCCCCCCCGCCTGTGGAATTCCCTCCCCAGGGACATCAGATTGGCCACCTCCTTCCTGTCCTTTAGAAGGAAACTCAAAATTGGTTGTGGGACCAAGGGTTTGATCACTGAATAGCGGCAAGTGAGAATAAAACATAAGCAATTTGAAGTGACAATGAACTGACCCTGGCTTTGGTTTTAACTGTTTTTTTTACTGTTGTTTTAATGAATTTGTGGAATGTTTTTATGATAGTGATGGCATCGAATAGTGCTTGCTGTGAGGCCATCCTGAGTCCCACCTCGGGGTTGAGAAGGGTGGGGTACAAGTGTATAATATATATATATATAATCTTGTAAATAAACAGGATACCAACTCAAAGAAGATGAAATAATCTCAAACAAGTGAGTATTCAGCACTACCAATAAAATGTGCACCTAAAACTTAATCCCTTTAAGCTTTATGGATTCAGCAATTACATTCTGAAGTCGTATGGACCAATCTTGGACATTGCCTACAAGCACACAGAGCAAAGAAAATGCAACAGCTGAAGTATAACCCACAAATCTGTATTGTAGAAAAACTTCCCAACTTTGGGATTTCTTTCCCGAGCCCTGCTCTACTGAAATCTCTTGCACTCCCCAGAATGATAAACTTGTAATGGTTTGTGTGTTGACTACTTTGGTGGCATAGAACATTTTACAATGTGACATTGAAAGCATTGCTAACGTAAGTCATAGTTTGAAGAATTTCTCTTTTATGATAGTTCTGCATTTGTTCTTTCTACCTCCTTCCGTTGGGCAAGGCATGGATTGTTCTAAAAAGCAACAGGCTCCTTGTTAATTCATTAATGACACTCTGTAGTGTTAGTATGTGGCCAGAGATTAACCCCCTCCTGTAGCTGGGCCAGCTGGTCTGTCAGAACAAGATCTGTGCATGAAGGAACAGGCACACTGCACCTTGGCTACACACCAAAATAAAGGCAGATGCCAAGCTGGTCGCTATAGTTGTAATTTTATTGAGGAATTTTATTCTGCCACATAATTAACACTGTAAAGGGCCAACAATGCTCTCTACTTCACACATAATGCTGTAATGCAAGAAACCATTCCTGCTAACTTGCTGCTGGTATTAATATTAAAAATTATTGCAGCATTAATATAATATGAATTCTGGAACTACAGCTCAGTGGTATAGCATATGCTTTGCAGGTAGAACGTTGTGGGTTCACTTTCCGGCATTAAAGGGCAAAGTCTAGCAGTAGTAAGAGTCTTTCTGTTGGGAGACAGAACCATATACAAGGGTAGCTTACTTATAACTTCTTTACACAATACTAAAATACCAAATAATACATCCCCTAATAATATTTTACTGTATTGAATTAATGTCATAAAGTTAATATTTCCAGTGATATGTAGATAATTACCTAGTCTAGCACCCACTCTTTAAATGGCCATTCTGAAATGTCTAAGAACAAAGCTTGACTAGGTCTCATGGAACCTAGAAAAACTTGGACTTTAGCTATCAGTTAATGAAGCCACTGACATATAAATACAGGTAGTCCCATAGTTAAGAACAAGATACGTTCTGTAGTATTGTTTTCAAGTTGAATTTATATGTAAGTCAGAACATGGGCATTTTATAAGTGTAACTCCAGCCAAATATGATTTTACTTGATGCTTTAATGTTGATGTTTTTAATTGTTTTGGATTTTAATGCATCGTTTATTTATCGATATCGATAAGTATCTCTGTGGCATCAAATTGTTGTCTTTGGAAGGCTGCTCTGAATCCCTTTGGGGTGAGAAGCGCGGGGTACAAGCGCGGCAAATAAATAAATAAATAAATAAATAAATAAAAATAGCTAGATAGCTACTTTTGGGCAGCATAGGGGTTAACACCCCTGTGGGGTTTGTCTTGCTGCCTGTGCCTCTGTTCAGAATATTTCACCTCCCTTTTTGTCCCTGTGATAATTGGATTTTGAAAAATTTGGCTTGCTGTGGAAACAAGGATTGGTAATAAAGCTTCAGTTGATGCACCTTTCCCCCATGAAAACACTTTAAGGAGTGAATTTCCCTTCTGAGGGGTAGATTTCTGTCACTTCCTATTGTCTTGCCCCATTCTTAACTATGAGTCACTTGTAAATCAGATGTCTGTAACTAGGGAATTGCCTGTAATTCAAAAAGAAACAAAAAGAAAAGTGTAATTAAATTGCAAATTTAGAAGGATAGTAAAGTACAAGGAAACCAACACAGAAACTAATTTCTACATTACAAAGTTTTTCTTTATAAACTCCTTCCTGTTATCATATTTACAGATGAAGAATTAAAAGTTGATCACACATATAACAAATAACTAAAACAGATCCCAGATTGTATTGTCGAAGGCTTTCATGACCAGAATCACTGGCTAGTTGTAGGTTGCCTGCCATAGGATGCCTGCCATAGATACAGGTGAAACATCAGGAGAGAATGCCTCTAGAACATAGCCATACAGCCCGAAAAACCTACAACAACTCAGATCCTATACTATGGACTAAGGTTGAGTCGGAAGCCGCTCTGAAGAATCAAGCATCCACACCATTTTAAGTAGAAAATGGCCTTCTGAGAATGAAAGGTATAGGAAAATGCCA